TGCAAGGCCGAAAGTTTACAAGAATATTTTAACTTATTGAAACCTGTATCCTGCTTGTTCAGGTAGCATCATGAGTATCTGCTTCCCTGTATGTCTCCTTAATGTACGAAACCTCTTGATTCTCTCCCCGAAATGGCATGTCCAAAAGCTCGGTTAATGAATAAATTATTGAATTGAACTGCAAATTGAATTTGAAAATAAAATAGGGAAACATCCACAGTTCATACAAATGAAGTTCAGATTAAATCGTCTACAAAGATATGTGGTACTTACAGAGGCTGTTGATAGGTGGTTGCCTGAAACCCCACATCTGTTTACCAGGCTCGTTTTCAGGATTAACTATGGAATCTTGGAAACCAGATACATGTAGTCGACAAAAAACACATTACGGGTAGTTTACATTGCACGGCACACGACTACCACGTGGCATGTGTTTGAAGGACGCACGCAGAACGAAGAATGCGAAATAATGTGTACATCACAGCAAATTGTCAATACCATGCGGTAAGTGCCGTTCTAACTAAAACCGCCTGAACAGGTTGTCGCTTTGCCTCCAAAGCTAATGTCTTTATCAAGTGTCATTTGTCACTCTGCCGACCGACACTGAAGCTATATCGGTTAATCGTCATGAAAACGACTTTATCTCAAAATATATCACTGTGCAGCCAAAGAGATGTTTTGTTTTTTGGTAAATCATGTTAGTATTTCTTCAGCTTTAACTATTTCAGCCGCACTGCCTTTGCTGTCCCGTCAAAGAATGTGAATCTGTGACAGCCGGTGTTATTTAATTAACATCGATAAGAGAACATTTGTACCGTTTCTCTAATTGCAAAGCCAAAAGTGATAGGCCTATTACACATGGTGACTGATAGCCCCAAATCCGTCAAATAAGCATGTTACTGCAACATTAGCCTGAGTTTCCTTTTTGTCTCAGGAAAGGCACGCGCGAATGTGATAGTGACGTTGGTTTGTAATTTACCATAACATATCAATGTACGCACCGTATTGTTGAAGACAATAACGTTCGTGGAGTACACGTACAAGCCCACTGCTTTCTCTACAATTGCGCCACCTTACTTTGTCATGCCGACAACGCTTCAAAAGATCCGTTCAGTAATTTCATTTTGAGAATTTAATTTAGTCCTAACTTGTTTAAAAAGTTAATTGGAAAGTATACTTAATTCTTGTCGTATTGTTGAGACTACCTTTTTAATTTCAAATGTGTCTTTGTATTCAAACTAAATGTAATGGCCTGAAGTAGTTTTGGTCAGTGAGACTTTACTGCACCTTGTCTTTCGTCTTTACCATTTTACAAGCACTTTGCCACAATAATTTCCACCTGGCTACAAAGTAACATTCTTGCCTCTAATATCAATGTATTACGGGTAATACAAGTTTTTAGTTTATAGAAAACGTTCCAGAAGTGAGTTGATCACCTGCAAATACATGTTAGCGCTCGCCCATCTGTACGTAGCCTTCTTTAATAAACGTCCATTTATGGAGAAGAAACGGAAATCAGTGATAATGTCTACAGCAAAACGAGAAATCGTCTTGATTTGTTCATTTCCGCTGTGTTGAGTTGCATCAGTTATAGACCTTAGCACTGTGGCAAGTTGACTTTCCTGAATTCCCTTCGGGCACGTCGATAACCTCAAGTGTTGTCATAAAGACAACTTTTTCCCAATTTCCAGGGGCATGACTGAATTTCCGACTTCTGAAAATGAATTTCTATTTCTTATTTAGTTCTTCATCTTCAGTGCACCGGACTGAAGATAATACGTCATTCATACGCTAATGGAGCATGTCACGAGTTGATTTTGACACACTATAGACAATTAATCTCGAAACTTTGACCAAGGCATCCTTTGCAGCCAACAATACATCAGTGGTACCGTAAAGCTACAATCGTAAAGTGTTGAGCATTGGAAAGTAGGTGTTGAAATTACCTCAGTTGTTGATTAATTCGAAAAATGGCTAACTTTGACAAGAATTCGCTGAAGGTAGGTATGTAGGTAGTTGATTATCTGTCCAAAGTTAGACAAAGCTCAGTTTGGTGATCATCAAATGCCCGGTGCGCTTCTAACATGGAAGACGAATACATCATATCATGATGTAACTTACATCCTGCTTACCTTGGTACCCATTGACAAAATCAACAAGCAAGCAAAAGACATTGGTATGGATTAAAGTTTAACCAGCTTGATACCAGTACCGACAATCTGTTACTGAATGAGACTAAATTTCTAAAACAAGATATTTATTTATAACTTTTTATAGACATTGACGTTTACGGATGTTTTTCCTAAATTCAGAAGGTGTAATTTTACCATAATAATTTTAGTGGTTCAGGAAAGTTCAACTGCTTTACAAAGCATGTTTCTTTTTACCTCGCTTGCTGAAGTCAGAGACAATGCCCGCAGTCCTATGTCAGAGATAATTTTTCTGCCTTTATAAAATACATAAACAAGAGTGGAAATTTGACAAAATTGTGAACTTCCGCAAACTGCCAGCGTCCAAAGGAAGTACACCAATTAAATCTAATGGTAATTGCTAGTAAGCAATTACAATACTGCAACCAACTGGTCAGGCACTGACAGATAGTTTAATATTGAAGACGACCATAAGATAGGTCCCCCAAAAATCATGTTCAGTAAATACCGAATATTACGGCGTGAAGTTCTCAAATATGCCATTTTACTGTTGTGCTGAAATGGAAAATATGTTTTTAATGAAATGTCCAACTCTTTTATTGTTTCAAAGCTCCTTTTCCCGGGGATAAAGGACCTAAATGCACTCACTGAGAAATATTGGTGCCGGCGTTTCTCCTGACAGATTGAGGGCGGAGCGGGCTTTGGACAGTACACATGGACACACGTCCATAAAGGCTAGTTCCCGGAAACGGGGTTAAACGTTGGGTTAATTAAAGGCCGGAAAAGACAAGAGAGCAACCAAAAACGCTGCCGTTTTCAAGCATACAGAAATTGGAAAACATTAACATCACTCGCCAGTACATGACAAAGATTTAAGGAAAGGCATAACTGTAGTTTGATTTGTTAGGCCAGCAGTTATCCTTTTGAACCTTCTTTCTTTCTTTATTTATTTATCCAGGGTAAACATGCTGGTTTCCATTTGGGCCCTGCGTGTTTCCGTTAGAAACAAAAGCACCATAATAATAAACCTTGCTTGCTAGAGCCAAGTACAACCACTGCAGGACGCAGTGAGTAAAACACAATTTGAGACGTGTGTTTTTGTAGAAGCTCCCAAATAGTGCACAGATGTAATTCAAAAGAAATAGGAAATAGAACAACGACGACTTTGGGGACTTCAAAACTGAATACATGACTTCATACCCTTTGATCTACTCGGTTTATAGCCAGCTTTTACAAAACATTAGCCATAGGGAAAACAAGAGAAAAAAAACCTGCATGAGATCGATAACGTTGACTAAATTCCCAGTCGTCTACATGGGGTTTTTACCAGTTGTACCGTTCCCTCAACAGTGCCTTAATTTTTAATCACATATCAATCACAAGGTTGTAATTCAGTCAAAGTCAAGTATTGTAAATACGCCTGTACATTTTGCTGGGATCCACGGCTGCAATGAATGTCACGAATCAGCTTCCGCATCAGACAAAAATATACCGAGCTCATTTGAGCTCTGTCATGGTGGTTTCTTGGTCCCCCTGAAGTCAGGCAGGGATTATCATTCTGTTTATCTCTTTGCCATCTATAATTCCTGCGACTTTTACGCTTAACTCATAATCCAGAAATCTGGGGTCGATTGGATTTAGCTGGCATCCGGTTTGGCACGTGGCAGTCGCCCGCCGTACGCCCGCCAAGGGCATTTCCCAAAGGGAAATGACGGTAATAAGACGTACCCGGCACAAAACCCTGTCAAAAAGGCACCACCGCACCTAGGCCATGAAAACATCTTGACCCGATGGTGTCACTGACGTCACTCTGTGACAGGTGATTTACAAGAAGGCGCTAATGTAAACTCAGTCTCCTTGAAAGTGTTACTCCGCCGTTGACATCAATAAAGCTGGTTTAATATTTACGTAAGCTAACCTTGCTCCTAAAACAGACCTTTACTTCCATCAGGACATATGCAACAAGGGCGGTTGAAAAGCTAGTTTTTGTGAGTTTTTACTTAATGGACAGACTGTACGATGGGTTGCTTCACTCTCGCTGATGGCTCGCATAACGATCACAAAACGAAATAATCATAAACATTACTACATTTCCTTGAATTTCAGTCTGTAAATTGAAGTCAGTGTTTCTTAGAAGCGTGTGTAATTTCGCAACACGAAAACAATTTCACAGATCAGATTTACGTATGTTTTGTCATACACAAACTGGTACAAGAACTAGTTCGTAAAGTATCCAATGAATTATACAATTTGACTCAAAAATTACAGAGCCAAATTATAGATCAGTGTTCATATGAGTTTATGACCAGCGTTCGGGCCCGTTGCCAATGGGAGCTCCGCCCCCGTGGGAAGCTGACCCCTTCGGCGAAAAGCATAAACGTAAAAAATATGTGCTGTTCTTGTGATGTCCCCCCATACTGTGTACCGCCTTAATGTCCGATGCTGGCGATGGGGGTGCCAACGGTTGTCTATTTTTGTGCAGTTTGTGTGGTCAACGATATTTAGACATTTTCGTGGAAGACACAAAAGATAGGATTTTAAAAAAGTCTCTATTCCAGGTTCACACCGAGCACCAAACCCTTTTGGCTGAGGGTAAACTTCGCAATTCCTGATGAAATCGCAGAACCCTTAGCAAGGTCCTTAGATAGTATAGTGAAACGTGCGTTACTCTTACCACACGTGCTGGGTCAGCAAGTCAATGCAGCACGTGGGTAAAAAAAATTACCACGCTCCCACCATGCTCCCAGTCACAAGCAAAGAGGCGGAGCCAAAATATTTCGGCGCAAGCGTCACTTGCAGTGCCCAGGCATGGCACGCGATCGCCTTGGAATTGTCACCCAGTTTCACCCCCGTCGGAATAATGGTTGTTTCGACGTCTTATCCAGATTGACGATCTGCAGTGAGCAAGTGCAGGAGTCAGTGTGGACATGTTCATGCGAAGTCTACATGTACTGTATGTGTGGGTGTACATGTACAGTGCACTGTACATATGCAGCACACAGCGTTCATACACTCTGCCTACCCGCATCAACCTTAAAATCTCCTGTTTATGATTATGCAAAAATTGACAAGCGCAGATTTATGTCGAAAGCGTGCTGTTCGTTCGTCTGTTAATCACCCTCCATCGACTGAATATTAATTCGCCAAGTGCCCGGCAAGTCGTCATAAAAGGATGTTCATATTTTCAATTGTTTCATATCAAACTAGCCTGACCACATAGTCCACCTGTTGGCTGCATAGTCTTCCGTTCATTTCTGCACGTCTTCACTCTAATGCCAATGGGATCGCTTCGATAGGTTTATCAACAGCAGAACGGAATTGCGTCAGCACAGTGCTACATCAAGGTTTACCACGGACATACACTTCCTGACCTTTCAAATAAAGATGGAATGTCTGTCTAAAATTTAAAATAGATTTTTCTTTCACGCCGACGAATCACTACATGAAATGTTACTTGTGTACCAGCAACAGTAAGACAATGTTTATCCCTACCGTGTTGTAAACATTCCACGGTGCTGAGAGAGGTTTGGAGACATTTAACATTAAAAGTGCCGTCACCTGCTACTCTCAAAGCCACTAATCACTTTGCCTTTGTCGCTGGAGGATTTGCTGAGTTCAACCACTTTATCTGGTCTCATGTACCCGAAGGGTCTTCGTCGCAGAGTTCGGAGAACTGACCAATGAGGTGACTGCATCGAGTAGAATAAAGCTTAAAAACGCGGTGGTTGTGGTACCCAGCTCGTACTGACGTAGGCGTATTGCAACCGCTACACACGAGCAGAAAGGGTGGCACAATTCTATGCCCGTATCAGGAAACGTTTGCACGTAACTGATTTCAAACGAGTTTTTGAGTGCAGGAATCATTCCTACCACCCAGCAGTAAAGCACATCTTAAAGGTAAGAAAACAAATCATATACCTTATTTAATAGGTGTGTTTTACAGGTGAGTTTTGTACAGGCCCTGTGACGTGGTTTGCAAAAACCTTAGAGAGCCCCTGGGACATTGAACCAGGAATCGTGGCTTCCTGAACGATAACCGCCTGGTTTGTACAGACATTAAATCAAATTAAGCCTCGGTATACTACTCTTGATCAGTGATTTTTGTTTTCAACTTTTTGGATTTCAACTCTCGATCAAGTTTGTCGGGTTGTCTAATCTCATAACAATTTTTCTTGTATTTTGTGGAATGAACAGTCTCTAGAAACGAAAAACCGCTGTCATTTTGAAACCTGAAAGAAGATGGGCTGTCGTCGTTGTTACTTACACCATGTTTGCCGTATTTCTATTAGTTTAGTGTGCTTGACATTTATTTAAAAGCTGATCATTATGTTCATAACGTGATGCATTAACATTACATTAATTTGTTCATCATACAAGCCAACAAATTAATCACCAAAAAATTGCATTTGGGCATTTACGCAGATGCCTTTCTAAAATGAGACTCCCCTATAATTTACTTTCCTTATTTATTATCCTTAACGCTAATACTGATGTCTATTCACTCCAAAGCATTTATATCACACATGAGTAAATTAAAATTAAATTGTTTGCCAGAGAGCGTAGCGATTTGGAATTATTCCTTATAAAGTAGTTATTTAATATATACTAATTGATGACACACAGTTATTGAATCTATTTACAGAACCTGTTACTCAACGAATGTTTGGTGGTATCGTCCTATAATCTCATTTCCAAAATAGTGAAAACCACTCAAGTGGTTCCTTGCCCAAGTGTTTAAATTATACTTTCACTCTAAATCGTCTCGTTCAGTATTGTTTGCTTTTGTAAGTTTCTTTAATTAAGATACTGGAATACTTCAGAATTTGACTTTTTAAATCCATAGTTCATAGAGACCCCAAAAAGGCTTAAGATACAATGACTTGTACACTGTACTTCACGAAAGACCAGGCCTCTGTAAAGAGTTTGCAAAATTAAGTTATCTATACTCGTCAGTCGTCTCCATCTATGCAGAGCAGTAATATTTGTTTTGCACTTATAGCTAAAATGCTTGGTTTATATATCCAAAACAGACTTATTTTCTTTACCAAGAAGGCTTTGTTTTCACTGCTCTAGATATACCTTTGAAACAATGGTGTTAAATGCAAAGCGGAAATGTTTCTTGGTTGCACTGTAGCTGAACAAGTTTGGAAACCTGGTCATTATGCATGCACGCGCACACTCATGTTTCACCAAAAGGTTCACTAAACAGGAAACTGCGGGTCAGTTTGCTGAGCAGTTGCTTTTTGACGAACAATTTTATATCAATAAAAACTTAATACAGTCAAGAAATCATTATTTGTTTCACTCAGATCAAACCCTTGGCTTCAGAAGTTTGAACCTCAGGGAATACTGCAAACCTACTGCTTGTAGAATTTGAAAAGTTTCAGATTGAAACAAAAAAATTAAAAATGGCAGTCTAATTAACAAATAATTGCTATTGCAAATTTTGCAGACATGGTGTCAGTAGCAAGTTGATATCTAAGGGAGGGCAGTCAGGTGGTCATGAGGATATCCGCCTTAAGGCCTACAGTTAGCCATTGTGCTCGGGTCCAAAATGATAGCTGGGGCCCAGCCGGACTCTATGCCTGCTCGCGAATGACCTTACTTCATTTTAATCATTTCTAATTGCTAAACAATGAAATAACAGTCAGCTGCGCTGAGTTTAAGTTTGGAATGATGAGGTATTTACTAGTAGTGTAACCTCTGGGCAGGGGCACATGTCAAAAGGTCACACAGGGACTCGTACCCACCACCATGAAACTTGTTAACCCTTCAAGTTGGTCTAAGCCTATGTGTTTTACATCCAAGCACTTCCTTACATTACATGCAGGGCCTTCGAAAATTCTAGTGCCGTCCGCTGGGGTCCAATATGCTTTTCAATTGCGCCTATTGTTCTGAGTCGACAATCGGAGTACAACGCACTGTACAATACAATGTGAAATCTCGGTCATTTCAGGCAATAAAACAATACACAACCGTTACACTTTTACATTATGCAAAAAACTGTAAGCAAGAAAAGAATCCCAATAATTCGACATACAGTTTAAGAATGTTCATTCAAGGAAGTAAGCCTCAATTTTTAAAAATTTAACTTTCATTTTCTTCACTTTTTTACCAGAAACAAAGAGTTTTGCGGTAGAAACGAAAGTGTAGAGAGAAGTCCCCTAAATTTCCCACCAACGAAAATCTATTCGGGGATGAAAACTGATCTTCCCGGAAAAACGTGTAGTTGGCCCCATGGCAAGAAAACATTTGCATTCAATTACTGGACTAAATGGAGATGGACCACGGGGGTCTTCAGGGGGAATTGAAGGGAATTCTGTCTGTTTATTAGTGTCATATTTAAAGGTGGGTGTTTCTAGACATGTAAAAGTCAGTTGGTCATGTCACTTTGTTATTTCAATAAACTAGATTCAAACTAATTAAATTGGAGTTTCACAAAAATTAATCAAACCACTGAAACTGATTTCAATTCGTCTGTTAGCGTAATGTTTAAGGATGGGTTTATAACTTCGAGAAAACTAAAACCTGAAAGTTACCGCATGCAGACGTAGAAAAGTCAAACTGAAAATATGCTCTCGCTTTCAAATGCAGGATCATTCTATAGTTTATTACTTTTTGGGAAATCTTCTGACTCGCATACTTTGTCTAATAAATTACAAGTCCTTGAAGCCAGGACGAAATAGCCTGATGAAAAAACTTACAAATAATTCAACAAGGGACGAACATCTGCTTGCCAGAACCATCCCTCAGCCGTGCGTGAAACCTCAGAAGCAAACAAACTTTTCTGGAGCCAGTTTTTATTCCCCGCCAGCATTTTTGTTTCGTAAAATAGTGCAGCGATGCGCTACAATAACCGATATTTCGACTACCAAGGGAACGTGTCGGAACGTGTCTCAGTAGCAGTACCTCATGCTTGCCGCATCGCGCACGCCATGCCCGGCACACGACATGCACGGGTGGTGAATTTGGTCCAGACCTCGGTCTCAGCATCGAGGCCTGGGGCAATCCATAAGAAACCACCTGTTGACTGGAACGGCATGAATTAGTAAACAATTTTTCCAATCAGACAGCGTCTGGTTTAAGTGGAATTGACATCAATCGTATCTTGTTAACCAGTAATTTATGCGTAAGAAAGAGAAAAACGAAAGACAAACATAGTCTTGGTGTAAGTGCAAAGACTGAGTTAACATGACTCTGACATTTCTGAAATGGAAGATCGAAATCAAATCAAGGCTTTCAAAGTTTTTAAAAGCTTTGTACTTCAAAATAGAAATGACAACTTATAAACACTAGGCTTATGTATCTTTCAAAGAAAGTTTAGTTGAGAAGCCTTTGTCGTGACTTGATATTTGAAGCATTTGGAGTAACCATGCATGAGTGCGGCAAATTCTAAATCCCTTCGTTCATTTGTAACTTGTTTATTTTAAAATAATTTGGTTGGAAGACAAGCCAGCTGTTCTTCACCCGAAAACACGTGTTTGTCCATGTCGATTCAATAATCATAGCAACCTGCTGAGCTATTATCAACGCGCGACCTTATTCTGGTTTTTTTTCTCACCAGACTGAGTGTTGGTACCGGTATATCTGCAGTCACGGGATCTCTGTTGTGCGCATGAGCAATGGCTTCTGTTGCTGTTACAGCTAACGTAATGGGGATTGGTCGAGGACATGGACTTCTCCCCAGAACCTTGCTGGTTCCCCCACCTCAGGTGACAACACCTGTCAGCCCAGTGGATACAACAACGATAAGCCGTAATGGATCCACGAGCCAGTCCGTGCCATCACCTACCCCATTTACGCCTAGCCCAACACTGCAGGACAGTTTCAACTTCACGCCGGCTACTAGTCCAGAAGATAGGAAAAATGTGGGTTTACTGCTGAGTATGGAGAACGACCAGAAGAGGGCTGTTGCACCCAAGGCTGAACTGAAAATCAAGACACAACAACAGACAGCTGAGAACTGTTTGCAGTCCCCTGTCTCACCACATTCATTTCTGGGTAGTCCTGCGATCCCCATTTCCGACGCTCCACACATTGAACCAGTTGCAAGAATGCAGCATTCCCCTCATGTTACCTGGACTTTCCCTACTGTTGTCAACTCATCCCCAGCCACACAAGGCCTATCTGAGCTCCAGAATAATGCCACCTTTACCATCCATCCAAGAAGCCAGAATGTATTTTGCAACGTCAGACAAGCTGGTTTCGCCCCACTCATTGAACGGGCTGGTGGTTCCAAAGTCATGCGACGTGTGTTCACCAACAGCCGTGAGCGATGGCGACAACAAAACGTCAACTCAGGATTCTCTGAGCTTCGTAAGTTGCTGCCCACTCACCCAGTCGATAAGAAGCTCAGCAAGAATGAGATTCTACGGTTGACCATCAGATACATCCAGTTCTTAATGGATCTAAGAGATGAGCAACTAGCCCAGGATGCAGCAGATGCTAGAGCTGAAGGTGAGATGGACACTATCGAATGTTCATCCAGCATTACCGATAGCTCCAAGAAGGACAGAGTCCCCGTCGCTTCTTCTACCATCTCCGTCCAAAATACTGACACCAGCATTTGCCATCAGACACTGCGGCCAAGAGGTAGTCGCAGCTCATCCGAGAGTGGCATCGGAGATACCGACAGTCTCTGCGGGAGTGCAGGCAGCGGTTGTGACAGCCAAGGCAGCGTGTACTTCAGCGACGATAACGTGGGATCGGTCGACTCTTCCACTTGGTTTTCCTCCCCCGAAAGTAATCCGAGTATGTAAGAATCCCATTCAGCAGTAAATTTTAAAGTTTAATCTTATCTTTAACACTTGCATGGGTTCTTGCAGATCAGATGTTCCATTAAACAAGATTGGTGCTTGTGACATACGCATATATCTTGGTAATTACATTATTGTTTGCAACAAGTTTGTAAAGTGTATCATGTACATGTATTATACTTTCCTGTCAAGCCACAAACGACCATAAACGTATATATTACAAAGAACTGATTGAAAGGCATCAATTATCCAACAGCTTTTATTTTTGGCTTTAAATACTAAAAATGCGAGATGTGTCATTCGCATAATTTGCATAGCATCTAAGAACATTGTTGAACGACTAATGCGTTCCCAAGTAGAGTTAATGTGTTGTTGGCATAGATCACCAGAAGCAGACCTGACGTGTGGGACCTTGTTACTGTGTACCTCAATCTAATCAATTAGCTTGTTTTTAATGGAAAACCCATTTTGTCTGGCCCGACTATTTATAGATGGAAAACATTCAATCAAATTTCCCAGGTGTGATGGTAAATTAACTTCCATGTCAACGCTACAGTGTATAAGACCAACAGGTTGACATTTCAATCTGAAACTGAAATAGAATATGTTGGCGCAAAACATTCCAGTCGGGTGATAGATAGTGTTGGGCAAAATAGGTCACACTAAAATAACGATAGTGGCTGACATGGCACGTACATGTATTTCATTGCTGTTAAGTGCCGGACCTTCTGTGTTTGAGCACAATCGTGGCCTTATCAAGCAATAATGTTTTACCATGTTCATGTTAGTTTGCAAGATGAATAAATCAAGTCGTATCTGCAGCGGACACAATGCATGTAGGGATTCCTTTAAAAAATACTGTTGTTTCTGTGCAAGTTTACCGTCCATTTATGTAAAATATTGACTTAAGTGAAGTGATGGTTGAATAAAGATTGCTGAAAATAAACTTTCGGAGCGGTGCAATCCAACAAAATATTGGCCGAAACAGCAAGTTTGCGTGATTTGGGTTTGGTATACAACAAATTTCTCGGCAGCAAGATTTAGTTCTGTCGAAAACCAATGGTAGGAATATCAACAAAATTGTAGTATCTTAACACACTGCTTAAAATTCGCCACGATTTCATTGTTTACATTTTATTTCGGATCTTTCTCAACGTGGCATAAAAATCAGTCGCATTCCTCCCTTTTTTCCAAATGCCTTCGCTCCAACCTTTCAAATTATCTTACTATTCCTGCCATATGGACATTTAATTTTGGATGTACCTCTGGGAATTTATGTACTATTCCACTGACTTGTTGACCGCATGTGGGAATCCATTCCCAGTGGTGTAAGTTTATAGCTAAACTGTTGTCACAGATTGACCAAAGCGAGCGACCACATTGGTCTGGAAACTTACCCATATCAGTATAAACTGTCAGATTTATCAAGCAATCTAGTGTTGCATGACTGCAATGGTCAAATCAGCCTGAATTTATCCTACCACCTGTGCGCTGCATACATCGTCTTGAAATAGTTGTCAGAATGGAGCGGCCACGCTTACCAAAACTGATAAATCTTTTGAAAAACCAAGCTTTCACGGATGGTGAGCGAATAAGACCCGGTACACACCTAACTTGCTGTGAAGCTGTGAACACCCTCCCTTGTCTTGAAAAGGCACTTGCATGATACATTTAAGAACCCCAACATCGTTTATATTCGGCCATACAGTCACCCAGTTATGCATTCCTAGCGAAAAGAAGAAAGCGTGTACTGACATCTTCCTTAGTTGAGAGATTATTTTACATGCATACTTCTGATATCTGGTGATTAATTCAATTTATAAAAAATCTGTGTTTTTGTGTGTGGCCTTCTGCCACTGCTGCGAAGTGATACTTATTTTCTTCATCATGCTACCATATTTATTTTCCGATTGCTGTTGAAAATAGTACCGCCAGTCACTATAAGTTCTCACTTTCAAGATCATTTTTGCACTTCAAGATCTTCATTCATCAAGAGAAAACACAATTTGAAACGTACGTGACAAATTGACATCTGAATTTTAATTCGTCGTGTGGAATTGTTTCATTTGGACATTTTAATATCAAGAAACCGTCCAGAAGTGTTCCTTTGTTGATGATTCATGCAAAGACTAAAATGTGATGGAAAAAGTTTTGAGATGGGGGTTATTTCCTCTCATTTAGTCAATATTAATTTGTAAATGCATTCAGATTTATGCTTGGAAAAGCACCATATGCAAATAATACGTGGGGTTGTATCTATCACTGTACACAACCTTGCTGTTGATTCTCTTTTCACTCAACTTTGTTTTCTTGAAAGAAAAAACTCTTGTCCGTCCAGTGATTGTAAGCGTGAGGCTTTGAATGAATCCAAACCCCGTGTGTGTATGGAACGCAATACCGTCCACTGATAGTCCGTTTGTACCAGGCGTCATAAATTTATTCACAATTTCTGATTTGGCCTGGGGGATTTGTAACATCGCGAATTTAGCATGTTGACATCGCTTTAATTCTGTGGAAGGTTTTGTTGAATTTTAAAAGAAACATTTAGATGCATTCTCTTCGAGGATGATTAAGTGGCCGTATTTTGCGATATATTTTAAGTTTCCACACACAGTTTTTATAGGGTAGCCGAGAGTGATAACAAGACATGTATACAAGAATTTTCTTAGACGGAGGAAGTCCCATCGCAAGAAAGTAACGATTCGGAAAAGGGTTTTCTTTATTTTTGTATGATCAATACAGTCCAATAGAGCTTTACGAAGCATTCTTATGTATACTTTTGACAACTCGAACATTACTTTTACACTTGATAACAGTCGTTAGGTTTAAAATAAACCTGCTTCAAACCAGTCTTCTAAAATGAAGGACCATTGTTGTCTTTCCGTGACAACCTTCATTTTTATGAACTGAACACAAAATAAACGCATTTTAGGCTTGTTACATTACTCCACACGTTGGAGACTGTTTTGTATTGCAAATCGTAGGAAATCGAATGCGGATGTGTGAAGCGTGTCCGGTTCTAGATTTTTTTCTGTGTTGCATCATGATGCAAGCAGATGTTTATGCTGGGCTGTGCTATATGTTAATTTCACTAGTCAGTAAGTCTGTAATTTAGAGAGAAAAGGTACTTTATTTTTTTCTGATTTCCTTTCTGTTTTGGGCTGGACCCATTTTATTAGAACGAATTTATTAGAATTTAGAATTATAGATACAAAGTAGGCATAAGTTCGCTGTTTTGAATTTATACTTCTGTAATTTGAATTGTACAATGCCATACATAAGCTGTTTTATCGTATAGAACATAGTTATATAAGAGAATACCCATGGTCATTATTTTCTCCACATATAGCTTAGACATTGGTTTGGCTTTCCTGCAGATAGCATGTGGCAAAGGGCGTAGATGAAGTCCTCCAGCGGGATTATCCTGGCATACAACTTGCAAAAACAAAATCAACCGCAGAACATTCAAAAGGGTGGGTTCAGCCTAAAATATTTTTACCACTGCAGGGCGCTGTTCACTTTGCTTGTTACCATGGAAAAAGAGCAACTTTTTAGACCCTTTGCCCGGTTACTCGACATAAAAAAAATTACGTATGAGTGTTGTTCTTGTCTGCCCTTTGTCGGGGCTGGGGTGGGGTAGGGAAACTAGATCTCTGTCCCACTCCGAGGTCTGGGGCCTTGATGGTGTACCTTGTCGTGTGACCTCATCGTTAAGCAAGTTGTGCTTATTGGAAGGTTACGTAATTAAGTGATCAGCAGGGGATGTCTGCTGTCATGTAGCTCCAATATCAAAGTTTAACTCTTGGGTAAACTGTTTTGAATTGTTTTTCGACATTCTTTCGTTTCTCGGTAATTCTATTCATTTCTTGCCATGCCGTTCATATCAGGTTATAAAACAAACTGCACAAATTTAGGCCGAAGGGGGCGCTGTCTGTACAAAACAAGATTTTCATTGTACCGGTGGAACTTTTAACCTCTTTGTGACCTTCTTGCCTTACTAGCCGCTTGACGTTATATTTTTGTACATAAGTCAGACTTACAGATGAAAGTTTGTTTCCAATTTGTAATATATTTTGATATCATGCTGTTAGTATTTCGTCCAGTTTACATTCCTGTTAAAATAGTACGTTATGACATCTAGTCCGCCCGCTTTCATGTTGCTTGTATATATTAGATGCTTATCATGCAGCCTGCTGTACATTCCATAATCGTTTCAGTATATCATAGACAGTTAAGATTAATTCAACACAATTTGTATTAAAACAATGATACATGAAGTTTGTGATGGACCGTTTTGTGAATTTATTCTCCAGGATTAATTCCTGGGCTCTTTTATTTAATTGTATAATTATATCCACAACATCATATCATAAGCTTAAATACTCCCCATCCTCGCTGGTAATATAGATGTACAACACTTCTAATGTGTGGCTGATCAACTAGACTTGTATAACGCTACTTAATGACGCCACGAGAAAGACAGTTTAGACTTTACTCAGTCCCGAGCATAATTTTTAAAAGAAACATAATACCGTTGATTTCATTTTATTCCCTGTTCCAGTTCACTTGTTGTCTAGCTCCACTTCGTTACAGACCTTATGCTCGTGTGTTTTTGCTCACCTCATCACAATAAAGAATAGCCTTTTTAAAATCCAAAACAAAAACTGTTACATTGGCAAATTCTAATTACATGGAAAACCTTGTTAACGATTTGAGGGCAGTGTAAATTTGTAATGCATGTATTGCATAATCAGCACTTTTCGGGGGAGGTAAAATCACCTGACAAAGAACCAAATGGCAAAATGATTCGATACCAAGAAACTCTAGTACTTGGACAAATAGCCACCATTATTAAATGCTGATTAATTGTATGCCATTGTTTGTCTGCAGTGTGTGATAAGAACTGTTCAATTACTGTTTGTCTGTTTCCTCTAGTCATGGACACAGGAAGTATGTACTTGTACATCGACTTTTCGATTGATTCGCGGAGAGGTTATTAGCGCCCTCAACGTTTAAAGTAATACCACTAAGCGAAATGATCGATATGACTACACTTAACTACGCATGTTACTGGCCGCGCAATTGAAGTTGCCCACAACTCAACTGTTTTTTACTTTAGATACAACGTAATGTCCATAACAGACCTTGACATTTAGGCCTAATCTTGATGCGACTGGAGTCAACACTTTGATGTATGGCCAGCGTGCAGTATGTAATACACATGGGACTCAACCCATGGGGAATATTCACAAGCGACACGGGTTGGACTGACATGTCTTTGAGTATTACTCTCCAAAAACAGAATGAATAATGCCTGATAATAAAATTAAAGACATGCTTCGGAGGGATTGGATCAGTACAAAACGCATGACTATTTTATAAAAATCAATTCATCGGCTATTTATCCTCAAACGTCTGCAACGTTAATAGCTCCACTTACCGCATTAATAATTCTCGTGTCAGTGTTCCCTAATGTGTAAAGCACAGGACTTCATAAAATGTTTCTAGTTCGCTATACTTACTGCTTACGCGCTTATGAAGATTAATGAATTCCAATTTGGTATCAGTGAGGATGGCAACAAACGTGAAGAAGAATTTTGTTTTTAATTATCATAACTGCACTGTGTGACCATGCACTACTACCAGTTTCAGAAAAAATCCCAGCCAACTTCTTGTTTTGTTTGTTTACCCTCTTCCAACTGCACAGCATTGCAACCAGCTTGGCAAAGGCAAACACCGTGCCAATAGGGTTAACAGCCTTATCAAGGCATTAGTGGTTTTACTTCTGAAAGACTGTACCCGGTTAGCTGTAGGTGGGGTCACGCTAACCAACAATGATGGAAGTTTTTCTCTTCAGGGAGAATCAAGTTGACAGGTCCAGTGGGATGATGCAGCACCCAGTAATTAAGTTTGACTACTAAAACACTGTCAAAGCGTCAAAGTGACCAAACGAGAAGTTGCTTTTTATTAGTGTTGTTGTACAGAAATTATAGAGACTGACGGGTCCAGACTGTTGTGATTAAAATGCACTGGCGATATTTTTGTTCTGCACTGATGAAGTCCTACCCAAGAGAGCAAGTGCTGAGCTCGCAGATAGTGCTATGCTGGGCACGTGTTACCAGGGACCCACGTAGGGTACAGGAATGAAGATAAGACCATTTCGAAACCCGAGTGCCCCTGGTGCGTAGGCAACGGTTTCCTTGCGCCCATAATACAAACAGGAACACCCAATCAAGGCGGTAATTCGGGTAAGAATTGAAAAATTGGCGGTTACGGAAAGCACGTCAAAACCTAAGTTTTGTGCTACACTTTGGTGTCTTTAACGGGACTTACAGTTTACCAGAATAGCTTTCTTCCACCCTAATATCCATAACAAAGAGCCGACCTGTCCAGTTCATAACAACTCTTCCTCTTGAACCTCTTATAATATTTTCTATTCATTTTCTGTAACGTTTCTAAGTCTGCTTAGTAGAATTACGTTTGTTTTTACCAGAAGGTAAGTCAGTCAGCGTTTAAGTAGGCCTACTGGGTGCCATTCAAATAACACATTTAAGGCCTCAAAGCAGTTACAAAGATTTCTAAGAGTTTTCTACAATATACCGAAAGAACCTGTCTATATCTGTGAGTCCAGGTGTAATCATCTTGATAGATGTACATACATTCCGAATGTCATATTTTATTCAAGTTGAACGTTTTTGTTTGTTTTGTGCTGATAGTTGCTGTACATGTACACTTTTCGGTTCTCCTGTTTGAATCATCAGTTTCTCGACTGCGTGGACCTAAAAGGAAGAAGGGGCCAAGTTTATCAAAAATTTGCGCTGCCCTGGAGATTTCTAAATTGATTTTTTCATCACTTCAGACAAAACTTGCAGGCTGTTCCTTTTCTCTTTGCACTGACAGGGTTTTGGTTAATATACCTGAGGCTTCTGGTCCGATGATCGATATGTGAATACGCCTTGGTTGAGCTAAAACTTCTATGACTTCTCTAAACTGAGTCACTGATTTTGATTCGGCAAAATAGTGTTTTATCACTTAGCATACATCCTTTTTGGTGTCCGACAATGATTGTGAAAAGGGGACACTTGACCTAGAACAGGATTGCACTGGAGATTTAGGAATAGCATACGGTAAGGGCATGATGTCGACCTGTTCACCTGTTGGTAGATGGCGGACAAGAATACAAAACAATTTGACGCAAAAATGCAATAAAGCGAAGGTTGGCATTTAGAAATGGTGAGGATTTCTATCGAAATGCCACTTGATTTTGCTTTCAATATAATTTTTTTTGTATTTAGTTTTAGTGTTTGACATTTTTGCCTCCGTTTCTATTAAAGGAGGAAAGAAATGTATAGGTTTTAACGATGACCTTGATGCAACCACATACAACTACTAATAGATTAAGTGCATTGAAATTGGGGAAATGTTATAATCTATTTGAAAAGATGGTAAAATCTCATCACCCTGTGCCACGTGTGGTACTGATGCAACATCATGTTAAAATATCAACACCATAGTGACATTTAGAAATGTTCAATTGTGCATACCCTCGATAACATGAACAATCATCTGTAAACATGAAACCGACTCGAAACCAGTAGGGGTTTATTTTTAATCCGGCTATGTGCTATCTTTACATATTGCTGACGATACCCCCCTTGTGATGTATAACTTATGACTGACATTTCACTTTGTGCGCTGGCCAAGGATTAAAGTCTTAAGACTCATGCTTTATCTTTGTTCACCAACCCCGGATACTTACGGAGTTCCGAGAACCGAAGACAGCCCACAAGGCAATAAGTAATTTACTTTGTGAATAGAATCATATACTCCATCATGATTGATTTCTTTGACGCCATTAGATTTTACGACAGTTATCGATGTTGCTGTGATCAATTCCCCAAAATATTTTGCTTCGCTGTCGAGTATATTTATACACCTTATCATGAACCCAGGGTATGTATGTCGATGAGACGTCACCTTAGGAACAACGGATCTAACTCAATTTGAAGACTACATATATGTGCAGGTGTTAATAAGTCGAGCTGTTTAACACGAATTTACGTTGAACTTGTGGCGATGGTCACATAACGCAAACAGTAGGCCTACATAAAGCAAAGGTAATTCTTCAAATGAATCAGAGACAATCCTCCACAAATCGTTGTACCCTTTGTACTCATCCAGTCAAATTGAACACATTTTCCTCGTTACTTACGGGAAACACAACCCGTTTACTTTAAAGTTTCGCTCTGAAATAAATCACAGCCATTTTCCCAACTGCATAATATCATTCATGATTTTATTCACATGTTCTTTCAGACATCGAATCAAAGTTTCCGTGTGTTGCGAATAATTCATTGATTCATTGCAAATATATAATCGAAATTCGGAAATTAAAAATAGATAGCTTTTACAAGCCACTCTCTGACTGGAATGACCTAAAATATACAAGGTTCAGAGGTTAGACCTCCTCTCTATAATATCACAATATGTCTCTCACGGCAAATAAAGCGAATTCATAACTGGACATTCTAGAATATTTCCCTCTTCGGGGTGGGTGGGTCTAAGAGCGTATCTGCGCCAGATAATTGACTTTGTAACGTAGCTTCCACTTCTTGTCACTATAGATGTAGTTCTAGCTGGCAATTACTTTCCTTGTTATTACGGTTAAACCTGGTCTTAAAGGTCTTAGTATTTCCTAATCGTGTTGACGTTTTGTCCTGCATTTCATATTATTGAGCGGAAATTTACAAAAGGAAAGTTCAACATTTTGAATATTTAGACAGAATCTTAGCTGGTTAATAGTCGGTGGGGTGCAGCTCTCGATCGTCTACTGTGCCAAAGGCTCATGTATAAGCCAGGGGAATGTGCCACCTTAAACGTATAATTCCCTCAGTTATTATTGTATGTGAGATACATAGTCAACAGCCCGTGGTTCAGGACGCGCGATTGACCATGGTTGTCCGTGGTTGTAGTTTGTTCGCTCGATGCTTAGTCGTACGACACGAGGTTAATACTTAATACTGTTGGTAGCTCGTGTTCTCCAAAGTCCTTCAAAATGTCAATGCGGGCGCATAATTTTGTTTTGATCAAAATGACTCTTTTGTTTTTGCCTTTAGTATTTCTTAAAGCAGCCCAACGGTAAGACCCCGAGGATCTATTGTTCTCTCCAGACATGTTTGTCAGTTATTCCTTTGGATGTCGTGAAGTTGAGGGCATCTTGTTCTACATTCTGTATACTTTGCAAGAGAATCAACATCACATATCCTGAGATGTCAGGC